CATCATTGTCTAAAAGCTTTCTGTCTTGCTAGATTGCCCCTTTCCTAGTCTTTTGGCTAGAGAGAGCAGACTTTTCTTGGGGCGGTTTTTGTCTGCGTCTATTGGTATTTCTGGGTTGCTGGCTTCTCCAGCACCAAGTCTGGGATATATGAGGCTAAAATACCCAGAGAACTCACTGCCACGTCATTTTTTGGGTCTTAGGGTCCCTAGCCAATCTGCCTTCTTCACTCCACCTTTGAGTCTTCCTATGTTTCGTATATAATGTCCAGAGCTTTTAGTTGTATTTAGCAGGAAGAATATGTAAAATTATATCTCCTCCATCTCCAGAAGAGGAAGTTCCTGTAATTATGATTTTTAAGACTTTGTGTGGTTCCGTGCATTTCTGCTGATTTTATTTGTATATGTTGAATGACCCTAGGGGTTTATGCAAGTTAGTTCTTCTTTATTTATTATATATTTTATTATTAAAAGAGGTCCCCCTTTTTTGTTAATCTCTTGAGCACTTTGGACCTTAATTTCCACCTCAATAATTGTGTTTCCATACGTGCTTCCATTTTCTTGCATTTGCCTTGTGTATTGTATATTTAAAAAAATCTTTATTGAATTACAACCTAATACAGAAAAGTACACACATTATGCATGTTCAGCTTGATGATTTTTTAACAGACTGAGCAAACCTGTACAACCACCACCTAGATCAAGAAATAGACCACTATTAGCCCTCAAGAAGCCCCCTTTCTGTTCCTTTCCAATCACTAACCTCCTCCCAGGGGGTACCGATATCCTGACTTTTAATAGCATAGTTATACATGTTTTTGAAATCTATATAAATGTAACCATACAGTATTCACTTATAGACCTTTCGGTCTGGCTTCTTTGGCCAACATAATGTTCGTGAGATGAGATTCGTGCATGCTGTGTGTAGTACTTTGTTCACTCTCTTTGCTGTATACTATATCCTTGTATAATATAGCACAACTTGTTTATCTATTGTAATGTTGATGGGCATTTTCATAATTTCCAGTTTTGAATAAAGCCACTATGAACATTATCGTTTCTGTCTTTCGGTAAACCTCTGTCTGCATTTTTCTTGGGTATAGACCTACGAGTGGAATAGCTGGGTCATAGGATATTGCCTATGTTCAGCTGTAATAGATACTCTCAAACAGCCTTCCAAAGCGTTTGTACTATTTTATGCTCCTAACAAACAATTTATGAGTTTCAGTTGTTTCACATCCCCACCAGCTCTTGGTTATTTTCTCCTTTTTCATTTTAGCCGTTTCTGGTGTTACAGAAGAATATCTTATTATAGTTTAATTATAGTTCCTTGCTAACTAATGAAGTTGAGCATCCTTTCCTGTGCTTATTTGCCATTTGTATATCTTTGAGAAGTGCCTGTTCCTTTTGCTTTTTTTCTATTGCTCTTATTGATTTCTAGGAATTCTTGAGATATTCGAGAGATGAATTGTTTGTCAGATACAGGTGCTGCACTTAATTTCTCCCGCTGTGGGATGGCCTTTACACTCAATTTTGTCTTCTGATAAACAGAAGTCCTTAATTTTTCTTTTTTCAGGGGAGGATTCATCCTAAGCTAACATCTGTTGCCAATCTTCCTCTTTTTCTTTTTCCTCCCCAAAACCCCAGTACATAGCTGTATGTCCTAGTTGTAAGTCCTTCTAGTTCTTCTATGTGGGATGCCACCACAGCATGGCTACTGAAAGATGAGTGGTGTGGTTCCACAACCCAGAAATGAACCCGGGCACCCTAAGTGGTGAGCACCAAACTTTAACCACTAAGCCATCAGGGCAGCTCCAGAAGTCCTTAATTTTAATGTAGTCCAAATTAATAATCTTTTACTCTACAAGATATCAAAACTTAATATGAGGCACATTAATTAAGACAGTGTAGTACTAGTCCAAGAATAGACAAATAGATCAATGGAAATAGAGAGTTCAAGAATGAACGCCCACACATATGGTCATGAGGTGACACGGCAGAGCAGTGGAGAAGGGGTAATCTTTTCCATAAGTGATGCTGGCTTATCTTGATATCCATATGGAAGAAATGAATCTTGACCCTAACACATGCCACACACCAATCCTTCCCAGGAAGACTGTAGATCTAAATGTGAAAGATAAAACAATAAAACTTTTAGAAAAAATCGTTAAACATCTTTATGACCCTGAAGTAGGCAAAGATTTCCTTAAGTCTTAATGAGTGCTGACCATAATGGAAAGAATGATAAATAACATGACATGTTTCTGTCCAATGCTTCATTTCACATCTTTGTCTCTTTTTTTTTTGGATGTGTGACGACTATAGTTTGTTTTTTGACCCAATCCTATAGTCTTTATCTTTTATAGCAGAATTCAGCTCATTCAACTTAGTTGAATTATAATATATTTAATTTCATGCCTCCTATTATTTTATGTTTACTATTTATTTTCCTTGGTTAATATCTCTTTACTTTATCTTTTCCTATTTTTGCTGATTTGGTCACATTTCTCTTAATTCCCTTCTAGGTTCTTATTACCTTGGAATGCTGATAGTTCAGGATTTTGATTATTTTTTAAAATATTTTATTTTACTTCATTTATTCCTTCTCTAACACTCTTCCCTTCTTTATACAGATCCAAGCTTTTGATTTATATAATTTTTACTTTGCCTGAAGGATTTCTTTTAACGTTTCTCTTTTTTTGGTGAGGAAGATTGATGCTGAGCTAACATCTGTGCCAATCTTCCTCTATTTTGTATATGGGATGCCCCCACAGCATGGCTTGATTAGCAGTGTATAGGTCCATGCCCGGGATCCCAACCCATGAACCCTGGGCTGCTGAAGCAGAGCGTGTGAACTTAACCACTATGCCACCAGGCCAGCCCCTTGATTATTTTTATCAATTTCTGCTAGTAGTTGCCTTCACCATTTTACAAATATGATTGCCTGTATTTTCTCAATTGCTGAATCCAAATAATATCAGCTCTAGTAATAGAGATGCTATATTTGCCTTCTCCTCATTTCACTCAGTAGATTTTCCCAGAGTATTTTCAATTTTCCACTTAGTAATAATAATAATATTATTTTTTCCAAGCGCCCAATTGCATTATTTTTCTTTATTCAAATATAACTATATATCACTTGCAAAGATCATTTCTCAAAACTGCTTTCCTCTCATTTTGAGGTTTCCATAACTATTCAGTGTAGAATTGTTTAGACTGTTCTCTTGAGTATTCCCTCGAGATAGGAATATTGGCGTATTTATGCTATAAATGCTTTTATGTCTAAAATTGTCTCTTTTGCTCTGAAAGAAGAATAGGGTTGAGCCCCAGCTTGGGTTTAAAATTCTCGGATCTCAGTCACTTTCTCTCAATAGTTTGTAGATGTTTTCTTCTAATATGGCTCCCACTGTTGCAAATAAGAAGTCTAGTGCCATTGTGACTCCTTCCATTGTAAAGAACACGTTGTTTCTGCCTGGAAGTGTTTTAGGTTTTCTTATTATCCTTTAAATTAAATGAGAAACCAGATTTGGGATTGATTGGGTTCCTCTGGGAGTCAAGGATTGGGGCAGTTTCTGTGGGGGAGGATCAGTCAGTTAGGGTCCAATAGGATTAGATAACCCAGGGCCTATAGATGTCATTCATATTGGAGCAGTGAGTGACAGTCTTGGGGGATCCTTAGAGGAAAATAATTGGAGACGTCTGTGGATAAGTGATTGGGACCTCTGTAGAAATTCTTGAGGTTTTGTAAGAATTGGAGATGTAAGTATCTGAAGTCACTGATTGGTCGTGAGAGTTATTGATTGGGACACTGAGGTGGTGAATGATCAATTGCAAACCTGGGATCACAAGTCTCTGGGAGTCAGTTTTGGGGGTCTTATAGGAGTCATTGATTGGTACCTGTGGACATCCATAATGGCAGGACTGTGTGAGTTGGGATGTGATGGACCGGAAGGTCTATTATTGGGAGTCACTGATTCTATATATGGGCTGTGAGTTATGTGGTCCTATAGGAGGGCAGGTTTGGCCCACCAGGGGCATTGAGCAGACCAATGGCTGGTTTTCTTTTGAGGGTGTGTGGTGATTATTTGAGGAGCCTATGGAAACCAGTTGACAGCACCATTTGGGACACAGTTTTTGTCAAGTAGTGTTGGTTAGTGATTTCGAAGCCTGTGCAGACATGCTGGTTTTCAAGGGCCCAGATGGAATTGAGGGGAGGGGCAGATGAGTTTACTTTTTCATCTTTGGCAGAAGAGAGCGGACTGTATAAGTTGTCCAGAATGTACACTGAATTATACAGAAGATTGGTTTATGCACATGTGACAAGGTCACCCCTCAACCAGAGCACTTTGAAGGCAGCAAGAAACAGAAATAATGTTTATTGTGGCTCTGCCATAAATAGAACACCATATGGCACAATAGTTACAAAAATGCACTTTGGAGCCAGGCATACCTGAGTTTGAATCTCTGTCCTCCCCCCTAATCTGGGGATCTTGGGGAAAATTTCCTAGTATTTCTGAACAGCACTATCTGATGGCAAATGGGAATAATAATAATAGTAATACCTGGTTCACAAGATGAGTGTGAAAATTAAATGAGCCCCTAATAAAATATGCCTTGCACCACGTAATACTGGCAAGATTTAATATTAATGGCATGTGCTCCAGGTGCCAAGTGCAAGTGAGTGCTTTAGAAGCATCACTTCATTTAACTCTTAACAATCCTAGGAGGTGGGTATTTTCATCCTCAATCTTAAGATGAGGAAACTCAGACGAAAGTGACTTCCCCAGATTCCAGCTAGAATGTAGAAGAGCTATTCTAACCCTCGTTCATTTTACACCAAATCTCATGAGCTTTTCCCATATTCTATGCTAATACTCGGTGTTGGTTTTACTGAACTTTTCTCTTCTGTAGTATCCAGCACGGAGAGCCAGCCCTTGGTGCTCCCAGGAAATGTTCGTGGAGTGAATGTGGAGTGACTGACCATGTGGACACTGTCTTTCCAGGGTTTCTTGGTGCCTCTGCGGAGTCCCTGGGCCAGACCCCATAGTGAAGGCTGCAGGATCTTCCTTCTGGCCCCAGCAGCTCTGGCTGAGTCCACAGGTGCCCGCCTGGCTTCAAGCTTCTGGGAAGAGCGGAGTTGTCAACAAGAGAGCCGGAGGGCTGAGGCCCGGTGGGAACATGCCAGCTAACCGGAGCTCTCCCCAGTGGTCCTCAGCCCTGGCTGCAGAGAAACATGGCAGCTTGTGTAAGGTGAGAAGGGAGAGGTCTCTGGGGGCAGGAGCTCATTCAGTGAGGAGATGACCCAGACCTGTCACCAAGGCCTCAGGGCAGGGCAGGTGGCTCACAGGGAGCAACATATTCCAGACACGCTGCCCCTGAGACAAATCATCCTCCTGCTGAGTGAGCACCACGTGGCTGGTGTCCCACATCCAGAGCCCTGTGTGTTTCAGTGGAAAATGTGATGCAGCTGATGGAGGAAAGGTGGGATGGGAGGGTCAGCCCCACACCTGGGGGAGGGGAATGCAGCTCCCTGCAGGGTGTTTGTGGGTGCAGTTGAGGTGGGAGCGGCCACCGGCCCTAACCAGAGAGATGCTACCCACTGACTCCCAGCACAGACCCTGCACTCTCCATTGGCTCTTTGCAGACGCTCAGCCAATCCTCAGCAGACCTCCTTTCCCCTGCTCTCTGGGGGTTCACTGACTCCTCCTCTGTCTTGGTCTAGGGCAGAAGAATCCTTTTCTCTGGAACTGAGAGGATGGCAGGGTAGTAGAGTGACCACAGTCTCTAGGGCCCTTCTAATTCTTCCTCCTCCTTTCAAAGATGAATAAAATGCCCTGAGAAGGGACAAGACTTGCCCCGCCACCCAGATCGTGAGTGACAGCAGTGGAGTGGAACCAGGTCTTCTGAGTGTGTCCCCCACCCTCACCACACTACAGCCAAGACCAAATTTCCCACTGAAAATTCCCCTCGAGATTCTGTAACAGAGGAAGACGATGAGAGAGCCAGACCCTGCTCGACAGCTCCCTCCTTCTGACCTTCCTGTGGATGCTGTCACCTCTGGCGACAGGCTGATTGTCACAAGGACTCAGGGCCATGTGGTCATTAACATAATATTACACTTTTAAAAATTATTTTGATTTTTTTTAAAGATTTTATTTTTTTCCTTTTTCTCCCCAAAGTCCCCCAGCACATAGTTGTGTATTCTTCGTTGTGGGTCCTTCTAGTTGTGGCATGTGGGACGCTGCCTCAGCGTGGTTTGATGAGCAGTGCCATGTCCGCGCCCAGGATCCGAACCGACGAAACACTGGGCCGCCTGCAGCAGAGCGCACGAACTTAACCACTCGGCCACAGAGCCAGCCCCAAAATTATTTTGATTTTTATTATTTCATAATTTCGTTATTTCACAATAAAATTTTAGAAAATGCAGATAAGCAAATAGAAGAGACTAAAGCATTACTTGTAATTCCAGCAGTACCCAAAGTTAACCATTGTTAACATTTAGCTATATTTCCTTCCTTTGAATGTGCGTGCATGCACGTATGTGGGGCTATGAGTGTATGTACATATCATACATATATATATTATCTAGCTCAAGTTTAAAAATGGAATCACAGTATTTGGTTTTTTTCTTTTTTTCTTTTTCAGGGGAAGATTTGCTCTAAGCTAACATCTGTTGCCAATCTTCCTCCTTTTTCTTCCGTTTTTGCCCCCCAAAGCCCCAGTACATAGTTGTGTATAGTTGTAGGTTCTTCTATGTGGGCCATCACCACAGCATGGCTACTGACAGACAAGTGGTATGATTCCATGCCCAGGAACCAAATCTGGGCTGAGAAAGCAGAGTGCACTGAACTTTAACCGCTAGGCCATCAGGGCTGGCTCAGTTGTCTCCTTTTTAATTTGGCAATTTAACATAATTTTCTAGGCAATAAATATTTTTCTTCATACACACATGATGCATAGCATTGTATCCTGTTGATGAACTATAATTTATTTGACCAATCCATTATATGTACATTTAGGGGGTTTCAAGTTTTATGTTGTGATTAAAACTGCTCTGGTGAGGGACCGGCCCCATGGCTGAGTGGTTAAGTTTGTGTGCTCCACTTCGGCAGCCCAGGGTTTCACCAGTTCAGATCCTGGGTGTGGACCTAGCACCACCCATCAGGCCATGCTGAGGTGGTGTCCCACATAGAAGAACTAGAAGGACCTACAACTGAAATATACAACTATGTACTGGGGCTTTGGCGAGAAGAAGAAGAAAAAGAAAAAAAAAGATTGGCAACAGATGTTCGCTCAGGTGCCAATCTTAAAAGAAAACAAACAACTGCTGTGGTGGAATTGCTACACCTAAATCCTTTGGCCCAAGTCACTGAAATTCTATTTTGAGTCAACGGTCTAGGGGCATTGAATGGTTAATGAATTGCTGCCTAACAGCAGTGCACTTTCACTCTGGAAAATTGCCCTTGGTCTAGACTCTGCTCCATCATATCAGTCACAGACCCACAGGTTGGGGCCACGGCAATGTGGTCCTCCTCAGTCGTTTTGCACATGACCTCTTGCCTGGCCACTATGTGGGAATTTCTAGATGAATGATTCTGGGCGCTTCAAGGCACATTTCTGCACTCAAGTCTTCCTTCCCAACCATAAATCTCTGCCTACTTGCAAGAAGAGATGGAAATGGCTAAGACCCTGGTGAATTTTATTTATTCATTTATTTATTGGTTACATTCTTGGTCTTTCGTTAAATGTCAAGGAGCAGGGAATGGGCAGAGGTACCAAAGAACCAATAAAAATGTCCCCAGGAGTGGGGAGCAGCCAGGTGGACCAGGAAATAGTGACTAAAGCTGGAAAACAGGCAGAGGGGTCAATAAGAGAAAGAGGGACAGGGAATAGTCACAGGGAACAGCTGGCGGGGCTATGGTGCACTTAGTGGAAATGAAGGACAGCCAAGGGACCCAGGGGACAGGTGGGGAGCACAGTGGAACAAATAGAGGAAACGGGAAATACAAGCCAGTGGCCAGGGAGCAGCAGAGAGACCAAGAAACAGTGGTCAGGGCTGGAGAAGTGGTAAGAGTGGGGAGCGAGGAAGAGCCAGAGAGTTGGAACACAACCAGAGGGACCTCGAAATAAGAGGCGGGACCAGGAGATAGAGGAGTCAGAGAGCAGCTAGAGGGAACAGGGACCATCCAGAAGGATAAGGAAACAGAAGACGGCCAAAACGGAAAAAGCAAAAAGGTTTGGTGTTGTGCAGGACAAGCAACTTCACGAGGCACTAGGGTTTGGAGGAGAATCTGAGGGGATGGGGAAAGGCAGAGGTCCCGGGAAACAAGAAAAGGGGAGAAATGGGAAAGATGAGCCTGAGAGCCGGCAACAGCCAGAGGAGGCGGGGCCCAGCTGCTGAGGCTGTGGAGGACTTAGCGGGGCAGGGAAGGGACGGACCCACAGCCCAGCTGGAGAGACAGAGGAGGGCCTCCGGGGCTGAGGAGTAGCCGAGGGCACCAGGGCCACATGGAACAGGAACAGTCGCTGAAGTCAGGGAAGAGCAAAGCTGTGCTGGACACTAGGTGTCCACTAGAGGTCCCAGGGACTAACCAGAGAACTAGGGAACAGCCAAGTGGGCATTAAAAGTGTGTCTGGTGTTGGATAGCAGCCTGACTGAGCAGGGAGCAGCCAGAGGGACTAGAGAAGAGCCAGGGTATCCATTCCTGAAGCTAGTTAGCAGCCAAAGGCCCCGTGCAGCGGGCACTGGGGTTAAGAGACAGTTGCAGAAGCCAGGGAGAGGCTGGGAACAGCCAGAGTTCCCTGGGATAGGGGGACATGGGTTTCCTGGGCTGTGGGACTAAAACAGGAAAAGTCCTGGGCAAACTGGGACGGTTGGTCACCCTGCCCAGGAAGCAACCAGTGGAACCCGCCAATAGACATGATGTAAGTGATGGAAAAGTGAAAGTACAGGATCCAGCTGTGGCAGAGAGCCCACAGAAGTAGTCTGCTTTGGTGGTCAAGAGCCTAGGCTAGGAGCCAGGTAGACCAGCGCTCCACAAAGTGTGGTCCGTGGACCAGACACAGGAGCCTCAGCTGAGAGCGTATTAGAAATGCGTGCCAGGACTGCCCAAGGGGCAGGGAAGAATTGGGACCAGAGAGCAGCCAGAGGACTCAAAGGGCAGTCAGTCTGTGTCAACTAGAAGGAACGAGAAAGGCTCAACAGGACCAAGGAACAGCCAGGTGGACGAGGGCACCATCAGAAGAACGGTGCCCCAGACTAAGGATCAGCTAGAGGGACAACTGTTGAAGGGAACACACGACAGGAGCACCAGAGATCAGTCAGGGAAGAAGAAACAGGAGGCATGGAACAGTTCGAGGGACCCAGGGACAATCAGAGGAAACAATAACAGGGCCATCAGAAAGAGACCAGGGAACACTCAGAAGGAACAAGAAATGTTTAGAGGGAACAGTAAACAGAGAGGGACCAGGAAGAGTCAGATGGGGACCATGTAGAGGGAACAAGGACCAGCAGAGGGAGCAGGAAGAAGCCAGGAGACAGGAGAGGGCAGGGTAGGCAGGGAAAGCCAGCGGGAGGAGCGCAGGGGCACAGTCGGAGGGAACAGGGACAGACAGAGGGATAGGGAGCAGCCAGAGGGAGCAGGAGAGACCAGGGCACACCCAGTCGAGGGGGGCCATGCAGACAGGCTGGGGATCTGGCCCCGGGTGAGGGCACAGTGAGCCAAGCACTCGCTGCACGCTTTCAGCCAGCCTAGGGTGTGCAAGGGCAAGATCAGATCACAGGAGGTGAAGCAGATGTGCTGGGGCAGGAGTGAGAGCAACTCTGAAGTGGGATCACTGAGCCCCAAGGCCACTGCAGAGTACCACACAGCAGATGGCCAGGGACAGAATGGGCCGCCCAGCACGCCCGAGGGTGAGAGCTCATAATGTGCTGGGACTGAGATGACCCTGACGGGAGATGTCGCTGTGTGTTCGCTGGAGAGCTGTGAGGAGCTGGAGTGGGGATCATCACTTAGGATGAGGAGGTCCTTGTAGGGGCCCCGGTGGTAGTAGGGGACATGCCATCCTCCGGGGCAGAAATGGCCCAGAAATCAAACCTTTTCGTTTGTGGCGGGTGAGGCCGGAATCTGGGGGGGGGGGGGGGGGGGGGGTCCGTGTTAGCAACTTTGTACCTAAATCTCTAGCTCCAAAGTCCCCTCCAGCACCGCACAGATGCCCACCCAGCCAGGCGGCCAGGCGGCCAGGTGCCA